GAAGATTGATTTGTAAGGATTTGATTTATTGGTTACAGGATTTCACCATGAGCTGACATTGGTTAGAGAACCAATAGAAAACCAACTGGAAGTACTGGACAGCTGTTTCGTCAGTCCAGTTTAGGACTCTTCACAGCACGCACCCACCGCCATTGTTCAAACCCAGGACCTTCTGGTTACAAGGTGAGCTCGTAGAAGTTGTAATTCATGTGCCATTGGATCTGTTCCCAGTGGCTAAATGGTCTACGAGCTCGCCTTGGAACCAGAAGGTCCTTAGCTCGAACCACCCAGTGGTGGGCGCGTACTGATGAAGAATCCCAAAGAAGGAGGACGAAAAAGCTGTCCAATACTGCCAGGTGATTATCCATTGGTTCTCTAACTGATGTCAGCTGATGATGAAATCCTGTAGCCAATCAAATAATTTCACTTCATACTAAAGCCTGCGGTGAAAATGTTGTCCAGAAAGAGAATGAAAGCTTGTCAAGTCCTACCTTGGCTGCAGACTGAATTCTATCAGTCAACTATGCAATATGGCCCCCATGCTAGGTGGCTCGCCATCACGGTACACTGTGAATTGTTGGTACTAGATAGTTGGAAGCAATTGGTAGGAAGCCTTGGACCTAGGTTTCGTGACGCAGGTTTGAATCTCAGAAGGGACATGAGTTCCTTCAAGATTGCAGATACGCCTTGTTGATGAGTGCCAACTAGCACGAAATCCAGATCCAAGGCTTCCTGCCGATTACCTCCAACTATCTAATACCAACAAGTCCTGAATATCTTTAATTCAAGTTATAGATTTTCTGATAACGTGTTACCAATGAAGCCTGAAGTTATCGACATCAATGCAGACACTATTGTCAATGTTCAAATCGAGGATCAACAGAACTATCCGTGCATACTCAGTTTTATTCAGACGAACTTAAAGTACTTAATAATGTTGATGAAATTTATAAACAGACATAAGAGATAAAACTATACAATCGAATTTATTCGATAGAAGGCTTGAACTAAAACAAAAGTCTAATGAAATTATACTGAATAGCTCTAGGTTTAAATAAATAACTGATAGACACTAAAGACAATATATTTTTTTAAAGAAAACACTGTTAAATAAGTTGAATTTTGGTGGGAAAATACTTACCTCATCGTCATCATCATCATCATCATCATCGTCACTGTGTCCTTTATTTATTTGCTCAAGTATCAACTTAACCTTAGTGGGTAATTGACTGCATCGAATTAAGTTTCTTAATTTACTTAAAGTATCTCAAAGAATAAAACAACTGATTTTCAAAGTGTATACAATATACAGTATAGTTCAAGTGAAAACAGAATTTAACTGAATAAAAGTTTGAGTTTGTCCTACAGTAAAAAGTAACGTAACAACGGGAAGAAAAATGCATTCAGTTCACAGTTTATAAGCTTTTGGTTAATTTTGAAGCATACTGAACTGCTTCAAAATCACCACATAATTAAGTTTTTGTTTAATGGATAGATTTTAAAGGGTAAGAGGCTGAGATTTAATAAATAAACACCGAGTTTAGAATAGACATGATAAGCGTGCATTTAATTTCTGCCATCTGTACTTCAAAATGTAATGCTTAGATCAATTTCTGTGAATAACTAAGCTGTTCAGTGCTTCTGAAATCCAGCAGAAACAAAATGCATAATATCTAAAGCTGAGTGTTATAAAGATATATTATTGTTATTATTCTCTTGGGTTCCGAGTGGAACCTAGGGCTTCAACAACAAACCTCAACTTTGTTCTATTTTCTGCTGTCGTCTTCAACTGGGTCCACGACTGCCCATAAACTCTCATCTCCTCCTCACACGATCTCCTCCATGTCATCCTCTCACTGATGACCCACTCGCCGCTTCCCACTGGGATTCCACTCGAGCGATGGCCTGCATTGCGCGAGATGTCATTCGACAGTCTCCCCAACGTATGCCCGATCCATCTCCATTTTCCCCTATATGTTTGTTGAGCGATTGGCTCTTGGTTGGTTTGTTCCCAGCCAGAGTTTCTTGTTGCTAATTCTTTCTGACCGGCCATTTGATCTTCAATATGGAGTCAACGAAGCAGGCAGCTGTTGATAAAAGTCTGCAGTAGTCTGTTTGAAAGCTTTTTCGTGACGCGCAATGCAAGTTTCTGACCAGTGTAGAAGAACTGACTGACTTCACATTCGTGTTGAATATCCTGATCTTGTTCTTTACGCTGAGTGCAGAAGTTTTGAAGATATAGGAGTTGCTATTTATAAGGAAGAACACACTGTGCATGCTTAACGCACGTGCAGGCCAGAATTCATCCTATGATTGGAAAAGAAACTGATGAAATCCAGAAGATGAAAAGCAATTTAATGTTTGTTCAGCTATCCTCATAAAGTAACATGGTGTTTTTGTAGTGTAATAGTGTTCGATAGAGTTTCAGAATGATTTTGATTCTTTTCAGTAGTCGATTTCGCCTCGAAACTTTTGAAAGGACATATCCAATTCAGAAAGACTTTTGGTCGGCTGTCAGACAATTTCTTGGATTTCACCAGTCTAACAACAGCTCCTAATAGTTTGCGTGTTTTAACACTACATTGCTTCATCTGACTGAGTGAAGTGCCTCCTAATGTACTTTTAGTACAAAGAGGATCAATATACTTAATAGGACATTCAGTAATCTAATTAAAGCTATCTTAAAGATTGTATAAGCCAGGATAAGGAGCCTGAGCAGAAGCTATTGTCGGCCATAGTGAATTCCTTCTCTTCTGATAAAACATTTTTAAAAGAGAAGTTGAATTTCTATTTATTTTCTATAAAAACTGTCAAGTCTATTTTATACAGCAACTATAGATCTAATTTCAATCTTCATATTAAGAGAAAGTTTTGGTAAAAAGCAAAAACTCCTATGATATAAAGTAAATACGAAACTAGAAGTTGAAATTATGCTTCCCCGATGAATAGAAAAGCTAATTTGGAAAACTACACTAAGTTTACTGAACTGACAGTAAGGATATAAAATTAAAAGATTGAAAATAAAAGCAATATAGGGAATTCATCTTTAGTGGCACAAAAAGTGCAACCTTAAACTTTGTGTAACTTGACAATCACTAAATGAATAAATGAGGCTATGAAACTATCTAATTGGGCATTAGTGATTCCCAGTAAAATGTTATTGAATTGGTTTAGATAGTACAAGGATTTTAGTTGTACAATGGGGATTATAGCTCCAACATAGATTCTAAAATGTGTAACTTCATATTTAAGCATTGAAAGTACTTTAACATTGTAGCTAAACTACTCATAATTCAAGGCGGTTCTATGAATACATATTCACGGCAGCCATTTTATTAACTGACCAAGCGAAATTTATGGAAACATTAATTCACTTAAATGCATGACTAATCGATTCTTACTGAGAATTGTTTGATGTCTAACATGAGTTCCGGGTCAAGCTTTTGTACACTGCTAATATGATGCACTTTTAAAACAACCTTACATATGTTAAATAATAATCACCCAGTGAGTCAACTAAAGGAATTATCATGTTGAAATGATGGTGAAGATTTGTAGCTCAGATGGATTTTTTATATTTTGGTTGTGTTCTGTGAGCTGAGTGGTGTAATCGAGAAGATTTGATTGTCCTTCTGGAAAACGTTTTTAGCGGCCAAGTGTCTAGGGAAGTTATCAAAACTTACCTTTCCCTTGACATCTAAAATTTTCAGCAAGACATTTATTCTATAGACGTACAGCATGAACAACTCGTTAAACAAAAATCGAAACAACTAATAATCAGTATTAACATGACAAATAATTTTAGATAGAAGCCACTATCAGTAGAAAAATTTGGTAATCATATTTTTTCCTTGGCATTCGTGAACAAGTGTGGTGAGTAGCTCTAGCTAATTTTTCCAAACTACCGCAAATCCTAGTATGGATTTAATTTTGATATCAGGCGAACATTCACAGTATATCAACTTGTATCAAGGTACGATTCTTCAGATTATCTTATGTGAAATGATATTTGACAACACATTCCTATTTAAGGCATGCACTTTGCAATAAATGCAGGTACTTTATGAATTATAAATTCCTTCGAGAATTCATAGAAAAAAGCAGTGCAATCGCATCACTGGTTTAAACTAAATCTGGAAGTGCCACGGTAGTCATGAGTAATCTCAGGAGAGTCTAGATGACTCATTATCTGCAACTAGATGGTTAGAATGTGAGTTACCACTTGAATTACTCAGTGGTATACAGCAAGGGTATCGTAGCCTAAACGTTTAGTAGTAAAACCACTAACATTAACACTAGGTGATGTAATTCAGCGTTTTGTAGAGAACGTGATTTTTGCCAGGACTGTATAGTGCAGTTATGAATACAAAACCTAAATTCAAGGCTCCCGGTTGGATCACATCTAGCCACCATTTGACTTAAATCTTTTTCCTAACTATTAAAGTTACTTGCATACGTCGATACAATAACTTTAGTCTTGATATATGTATGTTTGATATATTATTGCAGTAAATAGTGTAATAGTTTTACAGTCCAGAAAGACCAAAATATAAATTTATGTGAGAATTTCTGTTTATTTTTCATGAAATTTAGTAAATCTATGAAATACCTTTAGAAAATGATTCCATGCATGTTCACTTTTAATTCCCCATTAATGACATTTTTTTGGGTGGGAGGAATTATCTTTTAAACAATTAACTTTTGATAAATGTGTCTGTTTATTAGGTGTAACTTTTCATGAAAGCGATGCACAAATGTTATAAAACACGTCACGTAAAGCACCAAAAAGTATTACTAAGTTCAAATAGCGAAGAGAAAATGTTTTCCATTATGTGTAACTGGCTTTAGTGTGTGCACAAAGAAAAGTTAAGAGTAAAAGTCATCAGCGAAATTTTTCAATTGTGTGTTTTTAAGTTAAAGAATGATGATGTGCATAGTGCTGCATAATACTAGGTGCATTAGCAATAAAAGTTACACAGCTAGATAGGCAATCAACTAACCTGATAATATAGAATGACATGTATTCAAACTGCACTCTTGTTTTGTAGTAACAACTGTTATATTTAATGTGGAAAAAAAGCAGTGAAAATAATGAATGGATTTATATGACTGTTCAGTGAAGAAATTTTTGTAATTTATCATAATTTTAATTCATTTTTGTATACTTACAATTGCTTCATAATTAATTGCCTCGTAGGAGCAGCTAATTTAGTAAATTTAGTAAAAGTGATATTTCAAATGCAATGAAGTCCAACCCACTCAGATATTTAATGATCAAGTAAAACTCCATTATGGATAAAATTTTATTTTGATAAAATCACACAGTGTTATACAGTAATATTTACTGATGACCACGTTTCGAGCACAACTTACTACTGCTCATAATCATATCAAGCACTCACTCACATAACTTTCTTGCTTCATTTGTATACATGACACATATAAACTCACTAGTAAAGGGAATAAAATTCACATTTGAATGAGAAAATGAACAAGGAGAATTAGCGTGGTGTAAAATGAAACGAACAGAAGAAGGTAAATACACTGCACTGCACACTAGCGTTTATAAAAAGCCAACGCATTCTGCTAATAGATATTTATGCTTTAACTCATCTCATACGTTATCTATCTGTGAAGGCAGGCTTAGTCAAGTGTCTGTTTAACAAACCGAGCAATAGAACTAAGTAGCACAACAAAAAGCCTAAACGATGAAATGAAACAGATAGAAGAGGCGTTGATGTTAAATAACTATCCTATAAAATAAATTCATTAGAAAGATGAGAAAAGGTGAAAAGCAAAATAAAAATAATGGTGAAACAAAAATGATAACATAAATGAGGAAGAGTATAAGGCATCTACAGTAGTTTTACCATACAAGGAGGGGGACATCTGAGACCTTCCCTACGTAGGATTCTCAATAAAGTAGGAATTAGGGTGGTATTCAAAACTACAAATTCACTACTCACTGACAAGCTCTGTAGGCTAGAGGACCCAGCTGACCCAATTAGGCAAAATAAAATAATTTACAAAATACCTTGCAATGACTGTGAGTTAAGTCAACTACATAGGTCAAACTAGTAGATCAGGAGTAGTGAGATTATCAGAACATAAGAATTGAGCTAAGGTTAGATTGACCTTTAATAGATACGCAGATTAGTCACCAGTGAGTAACCAATATCAACCTTCCATTATTGACAAAGCTAATGGTTTAGGGAAAACTTTCCCCACTCTTTTAGAAAACTTACTTCATTTGAGCCTTTCGTGCAATAAAAATATACAGTTCAGAAGTAATGTAGTCACGTACAGCATAAAAATATATCAGTAACTTATTTCATAAACCTAAGTTAACTCAAAAGTGTGAAAAACGATGAACGGTTTCCGGAATATAACAGAAAATCAGATAAAATTTAGTTTCGGTTGAAATTTTAAACATTCACAGTAGCTGTCAACAAATTTGGCGGATTATTGTGAAATAAATTTTTCACTGAAAGTATGACGTAATGTAGTGAAAAGACAAATAAATATCACAGTAGTTGAATATACTGTTGTTTGTAATAACTGTATTACAAAGTATGCGGCAAATACACTTCCAGCCCAAAATAAATTTGGATAAATTCGAATTAATCATTAGATAGTGGGGAGTATAATTCTATAGCCCTGTTAGTGGTGATAAAACGCGGATTCACAGAAGTTGGAAATCATGGGCCGTTGGATTCCATCCCAATGGCTGATTGGCCAACAAGCTAGTCTCATAACCTGAAGATCGAACGCTTATATCTCCATAAGGTAATGGTGGCGTACTTCTGAAGAGTTCCAGAGGAGGAGGAAGAAGCAGCTATCCAGTACTCCCTGGTCTCCTATGATTCCCTAACTGATATCAATCCAAGATCGAGCTTGAAGCCATTCACATACCTGCAAGCATTCACGTAAAAATAATGATGAAAATATGTTTATGAAGTGCTGGCTTGCAGGAATTTGATTGTTTACATGTTTGGTCACGAGTTGACATCAGTTAGAGAACCAGTTGATCGGGTCCCAATAAATGAATGGTTACGAGCTCGGCTTGTAACCAGAAGGTCCTGAGTTCGAACCCTGAAGGAGTGTTTGTTGCTGAAAGATTTGTTTGTCAAGTACATAACCAAGAGACATATTGTGGTGGTGTGAAACAGACAATGTGTGCCAACGAAATATGATTCCCATATATTCCCACAGTTCAATACTGCAGTAGCAACACAATACGATACATCTATTTGAACATTCTATTTGATGTCGTTTAATGTAAGTCAAAAACACAAACTCAGTGATTGGTTAAAGAATATAAACTGTATATATATATATAAACAGCGGTTTGATCAATGGAAAATATACCTTGGTTTCTGTGTCTTGCCTTCTGTTCTAACAAAATCACTGAGAGAGAACACAGAAAATGTTTGGTTGTAGTCAGACGCATTGAGACAATTCAATCTGTACAAATCTTAAAACTACTGAACCGTTATTTTCTTTGCAGACATCAGATCATGAAGAAACCTGAGTTTCTCTTGAAAATTTACTGCAAAATGAGTCAATTCTTCTTTAAGTTATCCGAGTAACGCTTATAACTGAATGGTTGTGTACTGCCCTACTTCTCTGATACGGCTTAAATATTTGCTCAGTACTTAGTTAAGCAGATTTCTAGTTTCTAGTATTCTATCGTAAGAAAACAGAACTTATTCAGTGCACATCACATGCTATATTATGCAATTATGCAGGTATAGAAATATGAATTCAATAAATCAAATATAAGTATGAAGCCTTTATATGTACGGCTGAATTTCAAGGGTGATGTACCGAGTGAAGTAATTACAAACAAGCTGAGAGAAAATATATTCAAAAACTTTTAATGCTGGTAAACTACAAGTCATATTTTCTACACGACCAGTTATGATTCCTCAACTGAGAGATGTAGTACCCAGACTAGCCACCTCTAACTGTATCTACCAATTTAACTACGTTTGTGGAGAGATTTGTATTGGCCATTGCTCTAGGAACTTGATTTTTTGTGCTCGAGAACACCTACTGGTGTGGCTAAATAAGGGTATAGTGAAAAACATCAACAGCTCAATATCAGACCACCTGGTCCAAACCAACCACAAAGCTAGCACTGAAGAATCCTTCTCCATCATCCACCGGGTACCGAATAAATTGCCAAAAGCATCTAGGTACCGAAGACTCCAAACAGCAGAGGCTATTGCACTCCACCTAAAACAACCAGTGCTTTGTGTGCAGAAGAAACAAGTTCAACCACTACTACTGCCCTGGCCTTCATTGGAGACTATAAATTCATGAATTCTGTACTATTATTTTTCCTAATTTTTCTGATATTCATTATAGAGTTATGTTGGTGCATATTATCACATTTACACATGCTACTGAACTGTACTCTACTGATATTGCTGATAGGATGTTATTTTAGCATTAATGCTATAAATAAACCTAATTTTTTCATTATTATGAATATATAACTGTAGAAACTGATGAAGAAGTCATCGAAAAGTATATTCTTTGTTCCGTAATGAGTCGTTTGAAATTTCTAATGGGCACTTCTGACCAAATCAAATATACTTGGAAATTTACTAAGTAGCGGAAAATGTTTGGCACTATCTTACAAGAAGTTAAATTTCACATTATGCACTATAAACTGAGACAGACTTCAAGTTAATAAGTGTACGGATTAAGAACATGTCCATGATTTATGTTTGTAATTCATAAAGCAAGACAAGGAGTTCAACAATGGTGAAATGATTTCAGTTTTATCATCATCATCACCATATTCCACAGCATGAAAAAAGTAATATTTTTCCACTTTTAAACAAAGCTTTCATCACGAAGAGTCTACTTTTCTAAATACATATATATATATATTTGTGTATAACGTGTTGTACTCAAATAAAACGAAGCTTTGTGGTTATTTACGCCTAAATGATTCGCAGAAATGATTTTCTAAAAAATATTTTTGTCTTATGAATGTATGCACAAATATATATATGTAACGTATGTAGACCACTTTATTATTGGTGAGAATAAATGTTAAACTAGATAGTTAAGTAAACTATTTCAGAATTTTGATTCAATGAAATGAATCCTATTTCTCTCTAATTTATTATTTTTTTCTTCTATTCTACATTTTTTTTCTTGTGTCTTCTGTGTCCCAGTTTATACTTCCTTATTCTCAAAATGTCTCGGTTAACAGTCACTTGGAATTTTAAGAGTACTTCAATTAAATACTGAAAATACTTATGTAATTCTACTGTTATTATTAAGCATAAGAAAAATGATGAAATGATGTGTGAGGGGTGGCGAAGGGGGGGGAGTGGGAGCAGTTGTGGGGAGGGGGATGATGAGAACGATGCTACTAGTACTGGTGATCACGATGGTGATGTGATATGCATCACATGGATAGTTTTTAGATTAGAAAGAAGGAAAAAGACGAAGAAGGAGAAAAAGAAAGGGGAAAGCCTTTCTGAATGATTTAATCAACTGCATGGTTAAGATGAGAAATTGAGACACAATAGAAAAAGGGGACTTTATCACTAAAATAAATCATCCATGAAGACAGGCAGGAAAAAAAATTGAATTTAATCGTTATAAGATAGTTTTCATTTGCTGGATAATACATAGCAATTTAAATCACTCCTGTATCAATTTTATTATTGAATTCATTAAGACAAGTTATTCACAGCGAAAGATTCATGGTTAAAGAGAATTTTGATTTTATTGACGAATTATAATAAACAAAATCTGCAATATTTGCTTAGAAGAAGCATAGAACATTGTACTGCTTCATTTGAAAAGAAAAAGACTGACTCCTCAGAAGCGTAGTGAGTTACGTATGAGAGTGTGGTGCAACATATGCGCACGCTGTTTTAATTCATGCTAATAGCTTAAGTGATATGAACAGGTTTGTGAGTCAGTGGTGATTTCTTTCAGCAATGATAGTGATTTGGTTCAGACAAACCATCATCATTTCACAGCGAACGCATCGTCATCTCTGAAATTTGTTACTTCTGAACATTGG